TTTTTTGAGAAATATATATAAATTTTTACTCCATTGTTCAATATCATGACACTCCAATTTACAGTGCCTTGCACTTGACCAAAATATTCTAGATTCTCTCAGACAAAGAGCTTCATATATATCACAGCACTCCTCAAAATCATACTCTCAAACAAAGATGAAAATGCAAGAGCCATCATAATAATTTTTCCTACTTCTAATTTAGACTTTTTAATCACAAGTTTAGAACATATAAAAGTACATATGAGAATCCTACCAAGCTCTGTAGCAACAGGTATTCCCATTCAACATTTCTCATACTACTTTTGTTGCATTGATCTAACTGAGAACCCCTCACCTATAAAAATCTAACTTTGCACATCTCAAAGATGTATGTATACCTCTTAAAACATATAAAATATTGTTAGAAGGCATTACAAACTTTTAGCATTTTGACAAAGTATGTAAGAATTAATAAAAATAATAACTAATTTACAATTACAACAACTTCAAAACAATTTAGCATATGTATAATGCAGCAGTATTAATCTCTTTGTCATTCAAATATCTACATATGCATTTTACTGATGGTTTACCATAAGAACAACAATTTGATAATGATAATTATCTCATTTTCACATCATCCATATACATGTTATCCTAACTTTTATTGTATAACTTTCTATGTATGGCTCAAAGTAGTTAGAACAGAGCTAAGTTATATCTTGAGACATATATGCTTCACATATTAAGTCATCTGAACGAGCTTTATTCTTTGCTAATATTTTAATCTTAATTAAATATCTACAATATAGAAAGCTTCTCAGTACCACATTAATATAAAATTTAATACAAATTGGTTGGCAAATTTTACATAGCTCTCAAATATATACATCCAACAATATTAACTAGGACCACCACCTCTCTCCTCGTATGTCAAATGAACAAAAGAAAAAAGCTCTATCGAGTAAAAGAAATTTAGATGAAATATTTCTCCAGTTTGCATAAAATTATTAGGATGTTATGTTCAATGCTTAGTAATGCCTTCTCATTCAAACATATAGACCACAAATAATTGAAATATATACTAGATTCAATTAATATAATTAATATTAAATTTGGTAAAAAGCTAAATTCTATAAGCATATGGTAATTTGGCTATTCATTTCAACTAATGTCCTTGATCTCATATTGAGGCATCTACTTAAAATTGAGATAGATCTATTGAGGCATCTTACTGTTCATGTGAAGTCCATAAATCAATAATCAGCCTTGAATCATCCACAATATGAGTTAAGTGCAATATTCATCAGGTGTAAGGTATGCTTGATTTTTGTGTTAATTTAGAACAGAAGACATTTAAACTTTGTATTGAATGAAAATGAACGTTATTGAGTATCCATGTAAATAAAATATTCAATTCTCCTGATGAATTCACCTGTTAATCATTTATGCCAGAGTAATAGTCTATTACACGTCGATAATCTTTGCCTTCCACTATCTATGTTATACACTATATTTTTTAAATGTAAAAATTATGTGTATATAATTTCACCTAATAAAGATAGTTTAAAATATTAAGTTGATATATTTATTTTGCTCACAGTGTGATTATCAAAATATAAATCTACTGCAACATGGATTTCATCAAGAGGATTTAGTTTATTAATATATATAATTGTTAAATTAAATTAAATTAAATTTAATGAATAATTAAAGGTAATGTACCATTTTTTTCTTTATCATCAGAATTTTTTTATACAAATGTAAAATAATTTAAATCAAACCTAAAACCTAAAATTCTCATAAACATATTAATTATGTAAAAGAAAGAAATAAATCTAAACAACTTTTCTAAAAAAACCCCAAACACTAAACATTCAAATTTATGAAGGGATCCTACATAAAAATCTAATGATAAAATCTTATATTGATTTAAAAATTTGATAAAGAGGAAGATTTACCTTTAGATCAATGAAGAAATTGAAAATATTTCACTAAAAATGGTTGAAGCTCAATTTTATGTGAATGGATCAGAAAAAAATTATTTTAGTTTCCATCGGTAATTCCGACAGATATATCTGTAAAAAATAAATAGAAAATTTGTATGAACAAATTAGTTGAAAATTCCATCTATAATAACCGATAAAGATTTTGCTCGAATATCACCCAAAAATTTTAAATTTTTTTGGCGAAAATGACTAGGGGTATCAATATATGACATGATCTGAAAAATTATAGATTTAGATCGACCTGTCTAATAAACTTTGAATTCAAGGCATTTTTTGGACCCATTTCAATATCAGCTTAGGATCAAGCTAACCCGTCAACTCGAAATCTAACCATATATTTCACATTATACATTAGTCAGCATTTAAAATGACTTAAAAATGAATATTTCAGCATTTCAAAGAGTCACATTAATATTATTTTTTAATATAAATAAATTGATGAGTCAGATCGGATTAAATGGGTTGCAACAGGTTAGATTTTGTCCTGTTTTTGGGCGAATTTAGTGGGGTGAAATGATTTTTAGTTCGGGGACCGGATTAATGTTTTGTTTGGGATAATTTTTTATTGCTTATTTAAGTAAATTTTTAGTATAAAATTTTAATTTTTATACTAAAAATTGTTTTAAGAAATAATAATCCATAAAGAAGCCTATAAATATATTATTTTTACTGCAGTAAATTTTGTGCGGTTATTAATCCTTTTTAACCACACTCTGCACCGTAGCCATCGTTGTTCGCTTGCTTTCACGAGATGGCGGGAAGCCTCCGAAGCTTAGGGTTTCCGCCTCCATTCGTTAACAGAGGAGGTGTTCCTCGATTGGCTCTTTACCAGACAAGTTGTGCTCCTTGTCGTCAGACTCATGGTGCTGCCAGTGCAATTCCATCGCTTTCTTCGGAGTGTCGGCTTGTAACAAGACGGCCCAGGGCCACTGGTGGATCTGACGAGGTTATTTTATTGTTTAATTTCTAAGGACAGAGAAGTAGTCCTATCTTGTATGCTTTTCTTTCCGTGAAAACATTCGGTGATATATTGTAGTCTGTTTGGCAATCAGTAGTTTTATAGCAATTGAAGCTTCTAAGTGTTTTAATGTAATCCTACTGTCATCTTTCATAGGGGGAATATGATATCTGAATTCAGTAAGCAGAGTAGTTCTTGGACTAAATTTACTGGAATCATGTTAGCTTAGACATGGAGAGAACTTCTGCTTGATCCCATGCCCATCTCAGTGTCATGAAAATACGATAGTACCGGCCAAATGAGTTGGAAGGTTGCTTGCCCATGGTCTGCACCTACATTTTCAACAAAGTTAGTTAAATTTATACTTTTTTAAATAATATCAGTATACTTTTTAAATTAGGCTAGATTTACATTATGTTTATGCTGAGGGCAAGCAAGTTTGCTATTTAAGTGCTTGTTCTCTGAATTGTACGAATATATGAAACTTAAGGTATGCCTGGTTGAATATTTAAGTGCTTGTTCTCTTTGTACATAGATAAGGTCACTAAAGTAGAGATTTTTATTTTTATCATTGTATAATAAAACCAAAGTTACAGAGACTTTAAAGAAAATGAAGTGCAGAAAAGTAGTTGGACATGATGATATTCCAATAGAGGTGTGAAAATCCTTAGGAGATGATGGATTTGTTTGGCTTACTAAACTTTTTAATATTATTTTGAAGACTAAAAAGATGTCAGTTGAGTGGAGAGGAGTGTGGGTTCCTATTTTTTTAGAGTAAAGGTGATACACACGAGTAAGTGAATTATAGAGGATAAAGTTAATGTGTCATACATTAAGACTATAGGACAGAGTACTTGAGCATAGGTCACAGCGCAATACTAATGTTTCTCAAAATCAATTTGGATTCATGCCCGATAGGTCTACTATGTGTAATTCTAATAGTAGATATAGTGGGGGGATTGTAACCATAGGCGATCAAGTCATTAAGAAGAGCACATGTTTTAGATATCTCGGGTTTATTGTTCATAGGATAGTGAAATAGATGGGAATATTATTAGTAGAATTTAAGTTGGATGGTTGAGGTGGAGGAATGCATCAGGCCTGTCGTGTGATAGAAAAATAGCCTTCAAATTTAAGTAAAAATTCTATTAGATGGTGGTGAAAAACCTGCAATGCTTTTTTGCACAGCATGTTGGCTATTAAAATAGAAGCATAAAATTAAGTTAAATGGTGCAGAGATGAGGATACTTATGTGGATAAGTAACTTTATTTTTAGAGACAGAATGCCGAACGAGTATATAGATGAAAATGTTGGAGTAGCTCCAGTGGAAGATAAGATTAGAGAGTCGCCTTAGATGGGTTGGTCACATAAAATGTTGACACTTCAATGACCCGATTAGGAGAGTAAATGTATTATATATGACCTATGTTAAGAAAGGTAGATGTAGACCTAAAAAGATTTTGTTAGAAAGTATTAGAAATGATATTGTTTTATTTGATTTAAATGAAAATTTGACTCTTAATTAATAGAACAAAATGTAGAAAAAGTTATTCATGTAGCGGACCACACGTAGTGGGATGAAGGCTTGATGTTGTTGTTGTATTGGTTCCACATCCGTAAACCATATAGGTTAAATAACATTTTCACTTGCTATACAAATGTTGGAACTTTCTTCCTAAACTTTCAAAGGTCCAATCTTTGGCATGTAACATAATAGACAACAGTACAAATTTGTCATTTTCATTGACCTTTGATGTATAAACTGATTCAGAGCATCATAAAGCTAAGGGATAACTTACCTATTTTCTCTTCTGCTTTTTGTTTCTCCAATAGCACAATTTTCCTTTCTATTAAAAAGGGCTTTTAGTTACATTTTTATTGTTTGGTGTCAGTTTTAGCAATTCACTTAGCATAGAGATTATGTAGAATGCAAATGGAGTAAGGGAGAGGATAACAAGAAATATGTTAACATAATTGCTTCTTGCACTATTCTTTGTTTTTGCTTTTATGTATTCTTCTTATCTAGCATCCATTACATCAGTTTGATATTAGAGCAAGGGTTTTAGGAAGGATGGTGGAATGCAATAAAAGCCCAGTGGTCAACGACGACCAATGCCTGGAGGATAGCCTATATGAACATGTTCCAACAATTAACGAATTTATCTACTGATTTCATGCATTTCTCTGTTGAAATGCATTGAGAATTCTAAACTTTCAAATCAAGAGCTCATCCCATGAATCGAACAACGACGATGGAAACCATATCAGCAATGAGGAGGGGTAATGTCCTAGTATGGATAGTTTGGAAGACTCAAATGTGATGACGGAGGTTACCAATTTTGAAGAAGAGATTGATATTTTAACAGGGTTGAGATTGCTGACTTTGATTGAGAACTCTGTAGCGATCGTTTCAAACCAAGGCCTCATGAGCCTACAACTATCACCACAATGAGTTTCACATGAAGCTTGACATTCCATTCTTCAATGGCCAACTGTACATAGAAGATTATTTAGATTGTGAGCAAGCTAGCAAAATGTTCTTCGAATATATGGAGATCCTACCAGAAAAATAAGTTAAATATGTTGCTTGTAGGCTAAAAGGGGGTGACACTATGGTCAGTTAGTTAAGGCAAGAAAATGTGAGGGGAAGGGCCCAGAGTTGGTTAATAATTAAATAATTGATGCATAAACCTTACAATCAATAACCAACTTTATTTCATTTTCCAATATTTTCTCCTACCTCCTAAAATCTTTCTTACTGACATAAACAAATATAAAATGAAAAAATGCCATGAGTGAAGAAATGACAGCATTAAAAGAGAACCACATATTGGTTGTAGTAGGATTGCTAAAAGAAAATAAAGAAACAGGATGTAAGTTGCCATACATTGTAAAATACAATGCAATTGTGACACTTGAAAGACAGATAAAGTTATACTCGTGACAAAAGACTGTACTCAAACCTATGGAGTGGATTATGGAGAAACTATTGCACTAGTCACCAAACTAAATGCTATATGAACACTTCTATTCTTAGTGGACAACCTCAACTGATCCTTACAATAGCTGGATACAATTATGCATTCGTATACTGCGATCTAGAAGCAGCAGCCTTTATGGCACGTACACCATGTTTTGATTAAGATTTTAGTACTTAATACTAACCATGTATGTAGGGTGAAGAAAGCTTTATGTGGGCTCTAATGATTTGGGAGGCTTATCTATGTCATGGAAAGGATGAAACTCAAACAAAGCCTATGAGATCAAACTCTATAAAGAAATCCAATGAAACCAAACTTATAATTCTTATAGTATATGTGGATGACATGATCCTCACAGAAATGTTTTTGAAGAAATAAAATGAGTGAAATATCAACGATCCAAATAACTTGAAGTCAAAGATCTACGAGGACTCAAATATTTCTTAAGAATGGCAAGATCCTCTTGAAGGTTGGGATATTCATCTCTCAATAAAAATACATTCTTGATCCACTAAATGATACGAGTGTTATAGGATATGAGTCCTTAGAAGTTCCAATTGACTATTGACACAAACTTGAAAAGACAAATGATAGCTCAGAAGCCGCAAAGGGGATATCAAAGACTGTGGAAGTTTGTTTACCTTGCATACACAAGACAAAACGTAGTTTAAGATGTAGGTGTTCTATTACTGGTTGTATACAAAACCCTTCAAGACCTCAAATAAATACCAATAAAAGGAATCTTATTGAAAAAAGAAGAAGAAGAATAAGCTTAGAAGCATACATTGAAGCCGATTGGGTAGGATCCCTTATAGCTAGAAGGTCTACTTTATTTATTGCACTTTTTGAGTCGATAATCCACTTGGAAAGTAAGAAGCAATAAGTGGTTGCCAGATCTAGTTTCAAAGTTGAATTTTGGGCAATGGCGGAGGGGATTTGTGTGCTATGATGGATCAAAATTATCTTGGACAACTTGGGAATAAAATAATCATCCATCAACATCATTCACAATCCAATCTAATTTGGCTGAATCACACATTTCAATGTAAATTGCTATTTTATCCAAGAGAAATTAACAAGTGGACTAATGTGTATCCCATATGTTCAAACACACAAGTAGTTGGCTCATATCTTACTATACAGTTTGGGAAGTATTGATGTAAATAGTGGGAAACTTGGCAATCCGCAGGGTTGCAAAGCTGGCCTCCGCCAATTTAACCATCCATCATTGGCAATCCGTGGGCTACACTGGGCCAAAATCCTTCAAAGATTTTCAAGTAATTAAATGCATCCAATTCGTAGGACATCTTTATTTATTTTTGATATAATTGGTAGTTTCCATAGGTGAAATTATCAATTGTAGTTAGTATTTTGCTGTATTAATTAATAGAAGAGCTAGAACCCCCCCCTCCCCCCCCCTCCAAAATGAAATATACACAAAATATAAATTAGTTCCTCTCTCTTCAGTTACCATGCACAATTTTTTATTCTAGAGGAACTTTCTAATATGCACTGCTTTTTATTTATTTTTATGGTCCTATGCTCATTTTTCTACATTAAAGGGTTTTTTAAATTTTTAGGTGGATGGGGACAGACAGTTTAATGCCAAAGATTTCAGTTCTCAGGAACTCTTCCTTTGGGCAAAACCATTTTTGGACTTCGTGAGAAAAAACTTCCTTCCGCTAGGTATATGATCTGCAATTGGTATTGAACTTTTATTGCTTGAATGAACGAATGCATTTTTTTCCCCTTTGCTTTACTTAAACTTGATGGAATTTTTTATTTTCTTCCACATTACTACGCCCTATTATCAATTTCTTCACTCTCTTGCGTGTTCTTATGTATTTATTGGTTGTAGATTTGTGATTTTAGTATCATCACAATGCAATACATATATAGACAGATGATTGGATTCATTGCTGGCTTTAGTTCTTTATCAATTAATTTTTTATTGTTGAGGGCCTTGAAGGCTTAATATGAGTGTATGAAACAAATATCTCGGTCGATATCACGATCGTATATTTGTTTGATAGTTCCAGCCTCGTCGACTCCCATCTACCCGCATGGAAGGATCAAACTCAAACTTAGATTCATTTCTTGACCCGCACAACATTCTTAGACGTTACGTGTATACTTACAACACGCTTGTTGGGGGCCCATGCAGATATTCGATTCCACATGCATTTTCTTGTATTATGCTTACATACTTGCATGTACATTTACACTTTCTTTCGTGTATTAAGGCGCTTGCACGTGCACTTTTGTATTTGTATGTATACATGTTGGAATGTATGTATGAGGCTATTTTAAAATGTTTAATGTTGATCAGTTGTGCGTGCAACTATCATTTGAATGTGTACAACGCTCTATTTGAGAGCTTGTAGATGCCTTTTGTTTGCTTACGTGAGTATTGCGTATCCGGTAGTATATATATACACACACACACACAAAATTAATGCCAATAATACCTATATGCCTAATTAATAATATTAGCTAACTTAGGCATGCTAATTAATAACAGTGACCAAAGCCAGTAACGAGGAATGGGTGAGGAAAATTTACTGTGAGTCAAGATGATACACACACACACACAAAATTAATACCAATAATACCTATATGCCTAATTAATAATATTAGCTAACTCAAGCATGCTAATTAATAACAGTGACCAAAGCCAGTAATGAGGAATGGGTGAGGAAAATTTACTGTGAGTCAAGATGATATCGTGGTGTTCACGTGGAGCAGAGCAAAAGAACAAATTTCTCGTGGGGGCCTAGACTGTGGTTGTTGTTTGGCTGTAGGAAGGTGACGTGCGAAGGGCTATAGATTTTAGCTTTTAGACCTTTGCATTTTTTTTTTTTGGGTGGGGGTGGGGGATGTATGAGCAGTTGGAAGAAGGGAGGATGGGAAGAGAAGCATCAACTATAGGAGGTTGAATATTATGCTGTTTGGAGGAAAGGGGTAGGTGGAAATCATGATTGTAGAGGAAGAAGGGGATCCGAATAGGGGAAGATTTATACAGCTGCAGCAAGTGAAGTGTGGCTTGATCGTAGAGGCCAAGTGAAGATCGGGCAGGGAGGTTCATGCGCCTTTACTGGGTCTAAGCTTGTGGGGTTCGAGGCAGCGGCAAGTTGGATGCAGGCCGCGGGTCTTCACGACAGCGGGGGTCTTATATGCGGCTTAGGGAGTCCGGCCGCCTGCCTGCATGAAATCAGGCTGTGTGAACGGCTTCTGTTCGGGCTGGTGTTTGATCAGGCCATGAAAGAACTCAGCTTGCAGTGGGAAGATCGGAGCAGGTGAGCCCGAACGGAGGAATTGAGGAAACTCTGGTGTGCGAGATCTCTTCACTCAAATGCAGAAGCCAAAGAGAAAAAGGAAAAAAAAATACCTGCAAGCTTCAGTTTATCCGTCATTATAACGACTATGGTAGGCGAGACCGAAGCAAGCTGCAGGATTTATGGGAAGAGACATTTGTCCTACGATTTCACCGGATTTTCGGGGATTTGTGCAGGATTTTGACGACGCTGAGGTAAGTTGATTTGAGTTGAGTTCTGATTTTGTTTGTTTCTTAAAATAATAATTTATTATTAATAATATTATTATTAATCTACAATGCAAGGAATGAGTCAATTGGCCCAGAAATGCCTCGATTTGCGCACAAACTTCTTAGAAATCACATTGATTTGCTCGTGTGACTTTCGTTGTGCAAGATTATGGTCTATTTTGGGTATTGCCGACGTTCTTATTGCAATGACGTAGTCTGTTTTGCGATCAGAGGTTGTTTGGACGATGTTGCACGTCAATTTGTGTGTTGTTGTCTCGGGATCCACACCGATTTCCTCCCTCAATTTTAATTTGACAAAATGGCGGTCATTTTTTAATATTGACGACTCTGTTTTGTGATTGGACATAGTTTGGGCAACGCCACATATCAATTTCGGGTGTCGTTCGTCCCTTTTGATCGATCTCGTCTAAGACTGGGAGGGGTTCCCACTTAGATGAATTTGACGTTCTGATTGCTACGACGCTATCCGTTTTGCAATCGAAGGTCGCTTGATCTTTCAAGTAATGCGCTGTGCCGATGCGTGTGTTACTTTAATCATAGTTTTCACCTCTTTTCGTGTGTTTAGATGTGTAGGGGTCATTAATGTGTAAGTTTTATGAGTGGTGCTTTTAGAATTTTTATGAAAGTTCTTTGTAACAGACCAAGTCAATATGACTTATGGATTCTTTTAGTAATTCTTTCATTTCTTAGTGGCTGTTCACGAGTCTATCCATTCATGCATAAGGACTATGCAAGGTATGCTCAACTTCGAAGTCTGTTTTGAGAAAATTCAGATTGTAACTTGAAAATAATTTTTTTCAGCGAAGTTTGTTAAGTTAATTAAGGAGGCCCTTTTTATGCAAATTATTTCGTCATTGTTAATGGTGCGATTGGTAGATAATTTAAAATTTCGAAGGATATCGATAAGGTAGTCTTGTTTCTCATTTTTTTAATATTATTGAGGACCTGTTGTATAGAATGATAGAAGGCTGCTGTTAAAAGCAACTTGATTTAAGGGTTGAAATTACAAGAAAGTTTCCGTTGTATTTAAGTTTTCGTCGTATTTCTAATATTCAAATTTTAGATGTTACATTATATTTTTGTGAGTTCTCAAAATTTTAAGCTACTAATCTGAAACAATTTCTTTCTCGCTTTAGGAATATCAAATATATCTGTTTCAAAGATTAATTTCTCTTACCGAGGTTTACTTTGGCAAAGCTAACGGTCGTGTCTCTAACTTAGCCTCTATTTTGGACTGTAAGGTGGATTCAATTTCATTCAAGTATCTTGGTGATTCTATGGGTTCTGAAAGATTCAAAATTTCTCATGGAACTTGTGATTGATAAGATTCAAAGTAAGCATTCTGGTTGGATAGACTGTTTCTTGACTAAAGGTGAGAGATTCATTCGCATCAACTCAGTCCTATATTCTTTTTTTTTGGACATTTTCTCGTTCTTTTGAATACCTTGGTGATTAACAAAATTAATCCATTAATAGGAATTTCTTCTGAGAGGGTACTAATGATGTTGAGGAAGTGAACTTAGTCAACAGGAAATCCAACTGCAGGCTCAAAAATTTCAGTGGTCTTTGTATTCTCAATATTGGGACTTCTAACTTTTCTCTTATTGGGAAATTGATAGGAAATACTTGAGTTCACAAGTAACCCTAAGGGTAAACTTGAGTTCTCAAGCAATCCTAACACCAAACGAAGAGCAAACATCAGTAAATCTGCTGTCTACAGCAGAAAAACAGCAAAAACACAAGAAAATCTGAGAGAAAACTCAACGAAAAGCTTGTATTCCACTAGTCGATGAATAAAATAGCAAGATACAATTGATCCTCAATTCAAGAGGAGGATCGATCTCTCCCAAATCTCTAGACGCCGCTAGAGCCCAAAGAAAACCTAAATCTAAGAGATCTCAAATTTCAGCCCAAATTCAAGATGCCCAAACCCTAGGAAAAACACTATTTAATGCATACAAATCAAAAGGAAATCCCTAAACAGTCCCTACATTCAAATTCCCCTCTTAATTTCCCCAAAAAAGCTTCCTATTCGGCTCCCGCAAGGCAAGCGGTGCGCGCGGCCTCCGCCCAGGCGGAAAAACTCGCTGTTTTGCGTGTTTCTCGTCTGAGCCGGTCCCGTGTGGACCGGTCCACTGGACCGGTCTAACAGAAATGGATTTGGAAGTCTATTCAAGTTAAACAATCTATTTTTTTACTAGCAATATCATTCATGATAAATTCTTGAAGGGAAAAATCTTTTGAAATTTTGATGCAAAACATCATTTTCTTGTTCCCCTTTCATGAGAAATGTTTTTTGAAAACTTCTCTTCTAATTTTTCAAAAAATTTCTTGGAAAGTAAACAATGGCCATTGTACGAAATTTTGGAAAGTTAAAATGGTTCTTGAATTGCTCCTTAGCAGTTAAATTCCCTAGTCTATTCCAGTTTTCTTGGAATGCTGACTGCTCGTAGAAATATCCCCATACCTGTTCTTACTGATGCTTAACATCTGTATTCTCTTATTGCTGGTATTGATCTGAGCCTATCCAAAGACATTATTCATTGAGATTTTTCTTCTAGTGGCTATTCTATTAAATTCTTTATAAACTTTATTATTGATGGTGGAAGTCTGTGACCCCTAAAAAGTTCAAATTGTCCTTGACTATGCATTCTGGAAAAATTCCTTGCAAGTTATCCCACCTTTTCAGGTGCATCATCATTTCTTCTATGACTTGTAGAATACATTATTTAGAATCTGTGAGTGATGTGCATCTTTTCCTTGATTGTCGTTGGATTGGCTACATCTGGCCATGACTTTTATTCTTTTCCAGATTAAATGTTCATTAGCCATTGCTTTGGCGCCTAAATCTTTCAAAGGAGCTTTGTGATACTTTCTTTTGTTCTGCGCTATGAAATATTTGAAATGAAATGAACAATTGAGCGTTTTAACAAACTGTAAGGATGATAAGACTATTTACTATATTATCATTTGTTTGGCATATTTTTGAACTCACTCCACTAAGGGAAGAAAGTTCTAAGAATTTAAAATTAGCTGGGAGGCTCTTTGTTCATTTAATTGATATTCAGTTGATATTGTATTTTGGTTTTTATTTTCCTTTATTTTTTTATTAATGTTTCCTTAGTGTATTCTCTTTATTGTACTTTGTAACTAATATTTTCTTTTAATCTTTAATGCTAAGGGTTTTTACCTTGTTTTTCATTTAAAAAAAAACCCTTTTTTAATCTTGAATGGTTGTTCATTTGAATGCTTCACCTAAACTGTCATCTAATCAGAGTAATTCGTATGAGAAAGAATTCTTAACTCATGAGCTGCATTCTAAATAGTTTTCAAATTTAAAAATATTTGTGATTAGGTTGGAGATTCATTTGGAATATTTACTAGTCCTCTGTTTAAGCAGCAGGAAAATAGCTATTTTATTCTCAACCACCTAGTTCACCATTTGATTTCTCAAGTGAGAACCTGATGCATCCGATGTATTATGATTTCTAGGAAATAGTAGCTATAATTGCTTGATTAATCTGGTTTGATCAAAACAAACCGTAAGTCTGACATAAAGTGAAATATGGAATTTAGGTACAAAACATAAACCTTTGGATTTAATTAGTTTTAATTATTTTACATGTTATGATGCTCTATTTGAAAGAAGTATTCCTTGGTCTTTGGGTTGTTTCATTAAACATGTTTTAGCAAGATAGTGTTGAATTGATTATATTTATATAGTTTTAATATATATCCCGTCTTCTTCTTCTGCTAAAGCAATGTTTGTGTTAGAGCTGTTGGCGTCTTCTAGCATTAAACTTTACTACTAGAATTTCATACAATGCTGAGCAAATGAAGATATAATGCACATCCTTTACATTCTGTCATCTTTCTACTTGTTATCATGCAGCTCTAGTAAGTGGAGTATCTCTAGGGCTTGCATATCCCAGTCTTGGTCATGTTGCTGGCAGATATCCTATGTCAAAGTTCAGTACAGTTGGGATTTTTTTTATCTCTGGTAAGCTTTGAACTTATTTACTTTCTTTATCATATACTCTTCTGCTTCGTCTCTCAGATATACCATTCTTATATGATTCAGGGCTTATGTTGAGGAGTGAAGAAATTGGTGCAGCTGTAGAAGCTTGGCCTGCCGGAGTCCTTGGGCTTGTATGGACACTATTCTGTTGTGCATCTTATGCATTATGAAGTTCATAATTTTACCGTTATGTTCTCCCATTCTGGCAAAATTGCTCTTGGTACTTCATAATTTTGTGGCCTTTAATCCTTAGTCATCCTATAGAATTCATTACTTGATCTAATCACTGTGATTCCTGTAGAATTAGCATAGAAGATTTTTCATTTTGATATAAACAAGCTCATTTCTTTAGCATAGAAACCCAACAATTCATTTTTAATAAGCTTATTTGTCTTTTCCATCATTATTTAAGGTTCATCATCGTGGAAGAGACCTAAATGAGTTTGTTTTTCCATCATTATTTAAGGCTCATCAATTACTTTTCTGCTTTACCTGCTTTGATCCTAACTATCTTTTTTGGTGCTTTATTTTGGCTATGTACATTATGATCCAATCGCCTGTCGTTTGTCTCAGTAGTCTAAAAATTTTGATCTTTGATGTTTATATGTGCATTTCATTCTTTATTTTATCTGAGATAATCATATAGTCACCAGAATTATTTTGTTCCTCTCTGTAGATTTCCATTTTGTTGATCACCCCCTTCTTTTCGCGGGTTATCTTACAAGTACATTTGAACCCTCATGAATTTGTGACTGGTATGTCAACATCAAAATTGTAGCTGAGAAATATTTAAGCTTTGAGCTGTCTGATATTTGCCATCTACTGAATATTGTCGCTTTCTTAAAAATCTTCTCTAGCATATTTTTATGATGAACTTTTCTACTGGCCGTTAAGAAAGTAACTTCTTTTTGTTATAACAGGCTTGGCCATTTTTTGTTGCATGCCAACGACATTGTCAAGTGGAGTTGCATTGACTCAAGTGAGCCAGTGTGCCATATTGCACTTCTTAATCAGATATTATACAAGACTGATTACCATTTTTGCAGCTTGTGGGAGGGAATTCTGCTCTTGCTCTTGCAATGACAATTATATCTAATTTCTTAGGAACAATGACGGTATTTTAACATTTCCTTTTTAACATTTATTTTAACATTGGCGAATCTAGAGTAATGATTTGGTTGCCTCTATTGTGATATGATGTCATGAGTTATAATCATAGAAATAGCTTATCTACAACGTAAAACTGCATATATTGTCTCCAGATTTTGCATTGGTGAGAGACTCATGCGCTGACTACATCTTTTTGCTGGATTTTTGAATGTGTCGTATTTAAGTTGATGTATATCATATAATTTCATATAGATTAACGCGCAATGTGAATGCATTAATGCAAGGTATTGAGCTAATTATTTTGATAATGATGTTTAGGTATTTACTGCTGAATTTTAACCATAAAAATGGGGTATATTATCTCCGAGTTCATCGCATTACCACTACTTTGTAGATCTCAAATCATTTTTGGTAGGCGGAGATCTCCGCCTCCTGTGGAGATCGAGCGGCCCGACCAGCCCATTAGAGCATTTTAGGAAGCGTTTTTTAGCGTTTGGAGAGGGAAATTTGAATGTAGGGGCTGTTTAGGGATTTCCTTTTGATTTGTATGCATTAAGTAGTTGTTTTTCCTAGGGTTTGGGTATCTTGAATTTGGCTGAAATTTGAGATCTCGTAGATTTAGGTTTTCTTTGGGCTCTTGGCGTTGCCAGAGATTTGGAAGAGATCGATCCTCCTCTCGAATTGAGGATCAATTGTATCTTTGCTGTTTTATTCATCTACTAGTGAAATACAAGAGTTTTTCTTCGTTTTTTCTCAGATTTCTCGTGTAAAACTCCTGTTGTTATCTGTTTTTGGGCTGTTTCCTGCTGTGGACAGCAATAAATTTGCTGCAGTTTACTGATTTTGGCTAGGAACACTTGTGAATCCAAGTGTTTCCTATCAAATTTTCAGATTTTACTGTATGAAATCTTGAAATTATGCTTCTATTTGTTTCTTTTATTATTGAATATTTGGTGTCTCCACTACACAATAGACTCTTTGTTTACCCCTTATATGGTACTTGTCAATCCAGGCCACTACAAGTATAATCTAATAACTAATTCTAAACATATCAGTAACATTATATCAAAGAAATGTTGATAGAATTAAATATCTGCGCTGGATACTTTTCCTTTGTGCCCTTGCTAGGTATTGTGGCCCTAAAGCAATTCATTAGATCATATAGATGCCCCTTCAACTTAACCCATGTCATTCTAAGAAAATTGGATTATTCATCAAAGCATAGAGGCCATGATCTTTTATAAAATAAATATCCTATTAAAAATTTGATAATCTCACGTGATCACACTACGCTTCGATATAATTTTTATAAGAATATTTAATGATTCATCAAAGCATAGAAGTCATGATCTTAAATAGATTAAAATAAATCGAATGAAATCGAACGTGAAAATATTTTATTCTAATGTTGAACTTAATAGGGCAGAGGGATTATTTATAGAGGAGTGGATAACAAATCAAATGTTCTAAAACAGGTAACAAGTAACTGGGGAAAACATGGAATCCAATGACAGCCTGCCTATTTCTATTAAAGGAAAAGGTATAAATCCCTTAATCTACGTGCTTCTTAAGAGCTTTAGAATTCCTATTTGGACGCTTCTCAAGCTGGATGGTAGATTTTTATCATTCCCAACTTGAAACGTAATTCTTCAAAATTTATTCAAGAAAGAGCCTTTGTGAGAATATTTGCAATTTGGTGACGAGCTAGAGTTTGTTGAATTAATATGGTCCCACTGTCTATGCTTTCTTGAATGAGTGTTGTTTTTTTTTTCAACATGTTTGGTTTGGTCATGTTGCACAAAATCTTTTGCAATTTTCATTTTTTGCTTGATTAGCACCCAATGGCCTTATCCGTTCTTCTCTTGAGATGAACAATTCATAGAGAAGTTATTTTAATCACATTTATTCGAGGGGCATTTCTTTAAACTTAGCTTCTAGATTGCTTTGGTCAACCAAATATTGTTTTTTGTTGCGAAGTGACTAAACTTCCTCATACAAACACACAATAACCTAAAATGGACCTATGATCTATAACAGAACCTGCCCAGTGAAACCTTGATCTTCCTCTCTGAGTTTTTTTTTTTTTGAAGGACAATCCTTTTTTTGGAGTCATTTTTAGACATCTGAGTATATTTAAAGCAATCTTCATATTTCCATAGGATTATTCATAATGTAATAAACTTCACTTACTGAAAAATGAATTTTAGTTATAATGTGAGAGGTATATTAGTATGCTAAAAATTCTCTAATATCAGCCATTATCCACCGGAGCATTGTCATCTTAAATTCCAATTTGAGCAGTTGAATCCATGGGAGTATTTATTGGTTAAGTGTCAACATTTATGCTTCTTTTGGAAGATTCATGGCATATTTGCACTATGAGTTTTAGATACTCTTTTGTGATTGAGCCACCTTCAAGGACACATGTCACGTCCTTACAATAGATTATTTGAGAATGATCATAGCAATATACTCAATAAATATTTAATCTTTGTGACCCGTGATTTCTCAATTGTCACCCTTGATGTACGACTGTAGAGGATGAATAAATTTTGTTTTAAGCTTTGTAGTGATAATATTTCTTCAAATAAATTTTTCATATTTTGTTTTTTTTTTTGATTTTTTTTTAGAATTTGAACCCAAAATGATTTACTTTAGAATATTTAGACATTTTGAAAATAGTTTTCCTCTATGTTTCAAATTTACAATGGTGATCATCGGGGCGTTAATCTCATCGACTTTTATCTTGGTGAGGGGGATTAGAATTTAAAATGTGACTTGTAACCCTGCCCTATAGGCAGGGTGATTTGCTTGAGTGTGTGAGTGAACTCATTTGAATTTTAAATATTTGAAAAGAAGAGTTTGACTTTCAAAATAGTCTCAAGATTTTCAAAAAATTTGCACTTTTCAGAGTATAGTTGCTCACTTCTCAAGGCAAATTAATTTAAGCTCATTCATTTTTTCATCCATGTAATATTCTCTAACACGCTTTTTAGTTTGAATATTTAACACACTTTTTAGAGCATATATGGACTAGTTTGATTTTAGCGGCTTGCTCGTTTTTTTATGTGCTTGCATGACTTTCAATGCACTTGCACATTTTTTGAGTCATTTGCATGATTTTTAAGGTGTTGTATTTGAGTTGATTGCCTTGTGAAGCATGTGCAAGGCTTGAAGTTATTTGGATTTAATTAGTTGTGTAAGTATTTGCAAGGGGGCTTAAATTAATCTAGGTTCGAAATATTTGTGCAAATATCATGTCTTTAGGGTGTGTGCAAAGTTTCATATTGAATTTCAGAAGATTATTTTCTATCTACTTGCATGTGTGTTGTGGATTTGGTGACGATTAGTGCAAATTTGGTTTCAATGCATTATTTTGCTTGAATTTTGTCCACATGAGATTTCAAATAGACCCCAATAAGGGTATTCCTTTGCCTTTCTATAGACTAGCACTGAGTCATATTTGCATGCAATTCATGAATTTGAATATTTTGGGAATCAATGAGAAGTCCTATTTGTGCTCGTAAGCTAGCTGTCAAGTTCCCTATTGTCTAGTTCTATGTTCAATTTTATGTTCAACCATGATCCTTTCAATTCATTTGAGGTGAGATGCATTTGTAATGCTCTTTGATATTTCTTTTTTGCAGATTTACAATTATATTTTAATTTTTATTATGTTGTATTATTGAATCTAGAAAGATCTAGAAAGTTCATTTTGGTTATATTCTTTTCAAGCATGGTCACTATATATTTTTGTTTTTTTGTTTTTAACGTAAGTGTTGGGGGAGTGCTAAACATACTTACCATGAAAAAAAAATGTATATGGGTGGTATAAATATCAAGGTTCGGTTTTTATTTCCCATTATGCTAAGAAAAACATATACGAATCTTCAAGCCTTATGAAAGATTGTTACACAAAATTTCTTGCTGCATCAAGAAAAATGAGTATATGTACTTATTTTTTGTGGTACAATTCTTGTTCCCCGCCTCGTTAAGGTAGATGCATGTCTTTCTCCCCACTACACTAAGGCAGGCATGTATAGATCACTTGTGCAAGAAATAGGCAAGCATAATTTGATTTCCCTATTGTGTCAAGAAAGATATGGACAAGTTCTTATATTTGGTGGCGGGTTTGCTTGTACATTATACCTTTATGTGATGCAATGTTCAAGATTTATTTTTTTTGCAATGAAAAGGGGAAATTGGCAAGGTGAAAACATGAACTTAGGTCGCTTAATTAAATTAATTTATATATACAAACAAATATGTATACATATATGTATTTATTATTTTTAATCATTATCATGATTTGTGAAAATTACAAGATGTAAATTTTAGGTCCATTTTGATATTTTATATTTGTCAGTGTTAGAACATTGGCATGTTTTCTGTCCTCATAGTGGGTGCAGCACATTACTGTGTGTAGCAGATTACAGGATCATATTCATTGAGAAAGAATTATACATGATGTTTTATTTGAGAACAAAAGGAACTTTGTTGTTTGCTTCATTTGATCCTATATGCTGTTCTGCTTTTTTATTGAAGTATTTAGTTGTTGATCCTTCTCTGGGCTTTAAATCAGAGTATTGCATATAGACATCCAAAGGATTTCCTGTTTACACGGCTTAGCTTTATTTTCAAAAGCTTCTACCAGTCTTCATTAAAAGTATTGCATGGCATGTTTCATAACACCTGCAATGTACGTTAAGCTGGTGCGCTTCATGGTAATGAATAACCCTAATATCATCCCATTACTTTCGATACTTGATCCATTATTTCAATTTCTTCTTCTGCTAGAAGACTATTACTAGATAATTGCTAAAATATGCACCCAGTTTTTTTTTTTCTCAAATTTAGGACTTTAGATGCTAGTTGTGTTGTTTATAGTTTCAGCTGAGTAGTATATAAGGTGTTATATATTTTGAGCTACTCTTATTTCAGAACTTACACTAATTTTACCTAAGCTATAGCTCATTTTCTTCCGATTTTTTTTTTACATTATTTCTATCCATCCCTTATTGGTGCATGCCTTTATCCTAACTGTACATGCCCAAAAAAGGCAAACTGCCTAAAGCTACTTCACATTATATGAACTTTTATGGGTACTTCCTCCATCTTCTTGCTGCTATAATAATTTCCTCCTCATTTGCAGTTACTTTAATATTTAAATATTTTGTTTTAGGTGCCCTTTTCTCTTGCAATGTTTGTAGGAGGAGTTGGAGTTTCTATACCAACAATGCAATTATTTAAAAGCCTCGTCATGACTCTTTTGGTTCCTTTGGTTCTAGGAAAGGTACCCTTCAAGTTCCTCAAAGTTTACATTTTATATAGACCAAAAAATGTTGGCTTAATCAAAATATTATTCCTAGAAGGGCTTATTATCATCTACGAACTATTCTTTATTTTATTTTTATTTAATAGTTTTCTCTGACATTCCTTCCATGATCCCAAATTTATTTAGCCATGAACTAAAGTAACTTTGCATGAAAATAACCTTAGTCAAGTGCTATTGGTTTCGCAGTATAAGTTTTACCATACAAGCAAAAGTTCTTAGGTTGGAGTTATAGAATCACATTTTAACTGTCACGCTTAAATACTAGATTTCAGCGTTGGATGTTATAAAAAGCATATTTTCCATATTTCTTAAACTTAGTCTTTTTCATTTATCATACTTAAATATTTATTATGCTTATGTGTAGCTACTTGTAGATTGGAATAAAGGCATTGTCAATGGGCAGAATTTTTTGTAGAACAGGATGAAGTATAGAAACGACGGGGATCATATTTTTATAATTACCTGTTCTGAACCATGAAACATTTTCCAGTACGGCTTATTTTTTAAAGCTAATGTTCAATTTTTCTTTTATAATTGATCTCAACATTAGAGATTATTGTTAGTATTCTTCTATGGTTTTGATGCCTTTGATATTAAATGATCTCAACATTAGAGGTTGGGCCTATGTATAATAGATGATGCAGTTACAAAAGGATCCTTCCGCACTAATATCTCAACATGATTTCAAACCCAACTCTTTGATTATTTTGAAGGGGCAATTTATTTCTATCATTTATGTTTATGTTTATGTTTGTGTCTTGACTTTTATTTTAATTTGCATTGTATTTTATTTCATTTTTTCTATGTTAACAAAGTGTGGAAAAATCAATTCAATCAATTTCGAATCCAGCCACTAGAGATCCTCCCCTACACTAATTCTTCCTTATTGCATGCCCTAACTGGTCTCTTCGCCTTGCCACACAATCTAGATGGTCTTTTGCCAGCCCTCCGCCTTGCATACAGCCACAGCAGGTTGTCACTAGCCGTTCCACCATCTTCTTGCTACAATTAATCCTCTGCCTTCCTTATTCACTTCATGGCACCTCATTGATATGTGGTATTATGTTGCCACCTTACTAATCCATGGAATATCCTAATCATAACTATGTATTTATTTTTCATTCCTAAATTTTGTATATTTCCGATTAGAGGTTCCCCTAAATTTGTGTAAATTTAATACAACTGATGGAACGAAACACTAGAATAAATTCTCCAACTCGTGTAATTCCAAATCTTTGCAATCATAATCAATATCTGAGCCAAAAAGCAGGGAAGATCATTTATCACATAGTACTCTAATTTATTACGAGGCCTTTTTGTAAGAGATTGATTATTATCAATGTATCTTGTATCCAAATGGAATGCAACAAAGACACAACAACCCTGTTTGAAAGGTTTGTTGGAAAAAAATTGAATTTATAATTTTTTTGTTGGATTAAATGTTGAGCTAGATGTTTTAAGGGTATAAATTTTCGGAAAGAAGGATTTCACTTCGCTAAATGAAGTCAGTTCCATCATTCACATGAAAGAAGGGAGAAGGGGAGTTATGATTGCACTAACCTTCTGGAAGGTTTACTGCCAAAAGCTATTTGCACCAAATACCATGATTTGAAATTCTCTTTTTCCAAGGAGCACAAGCAACCACATCCAACAAAGCTTATCAATAAAGATTCCCTATGGTGCACATATTAAAGAAAACGCTTGACACATAAAATAAAAATGCTCGAAACTTCATTAAAAACTGCTAAGAAAAAGCTAGACAACACGAGGAAATGCAAAAGAATAGAGACATACGTATATGATACATGTGGAAGAAGTTAACATCAAAGGATTACTCACTAAGTTCCGCAAAGAAAAAAATTGAAAATTTGTTGGGATCATAAGAAAAGACTCTTATGATAGGTACTTATTCTCTTGTATTCAAAGGTATTATGTAAGAACCGGGCCAATTGGTTCTTCTAAACCGGTTCTTATTCGGGACGCGGGCGAAACAAAGATGAGCTTCCCGTGTGCGTAAACCTCCAGATGGGGTCGAATCGTTCTGCTGAGTGAGAAATCACGTGAAGGATGGAAAAAGAGCGATTTATGAGAGATATGCCCATTGCACTCGCTCCAGTGGAATGAAACGGACTGAAAACATTAGAGGAGAGAAAACCTAATTGAGAGGAAGGAGAAGGAGAACGAGAAAGTAGGTAAGTTCATTTCTTTTTTTATTTTATTTGACAATTTCTTTCATGATGGAAACCTAAGAAAGGGGTAGCATCTAAGTTTAGTACAGAGGAAGAAAATTTGGAAGAGGAAGAGAAAGGAAGTTGTAGTTTTGTAGTTTCTTATATCTCTCACGACGGAAGAAGGAGAAAAATTCAAGCGGCAAGCCTTGATTTAATCAATGAAGGAAGGCAAGTTTCATCTAGATGAAGGATTTATTGAGTTTGAGAAGAGTAATTTGAAGTCTTTCTCAAGCTCGAGAGTTGGAAGAAAATCGAAGAAAGAATAAAATTAAAATGGGTAATTTCAATTGTATTATAACAATGCTACATTCTTTTTTTGTTATTTAATTTTATGCAACTGTTGTATATTATAGTATTATGTTGATGTAATGAATATTATGTTGACGAAATGATTATTGTATAATGAAGATTATATGAATAGAAATGGAAATGAAATAAATGTTAAATGGAAATGGATAAAAAAAACAGAATAAGTAATTTATGTGACATAGAAGTTCTAAAATTTATAGTATATGAAAGAAAATGCATATGTTAACTGTATAAAAAAGGCAAAGGAACATGCATGTTTTAATATATATAATTAATTGTTGTATATGAAATAGTGATTACCCACTAAGTTTATTTTTTAAACTTAAACTGTTAAACTAAAATTTTTCAGGTAAATCATCAGATAAATAGAAATGACTGAAAGAGAGAAATACTTCTACAAAAGACGACACTCAAATAAAAGTAGGTAATATATAGTTTATGCAAATGAAGAAGATGTGAAAATTGTATTAGTATTTTGATAAAAAAAATTATGTTAGTGTATCTTCAGTTCTATTTGGAATGTAGATGACAAGTTGTGTTTGAAATTATAAGAACTGTTATAAACGTCTGACTATTTGTTCTCACCTCGTTAGTTCGAGTATCCAGCCCGGATCGTGACAAAAGTGGTATCAAAGCCCAATTAGGATTTGAATCATACTGATAGAGCCATTAGGTTGATTATTGAAATTAAATTGATAATACATTATGAATTTATAAGAATTTTTAAATTGTATTTCAGGACTCATAATGATCCTTAAGAAGATATAGAAAGAGCAGTGTATAATAGTGTTGTTAAACTAGATGTACTTATAGAAATGATGATAGCAATGACTCAACTAATTCAAGATTAAGAAAATCAACCATCAAGAAGTGATAGTGGTGGTAGTATGAACATGGATAAATATTTAAAGCTGTTTCAGGATATGAGACCAACGTTATTTAAAGGAGCAGACTGACCAATTGAGGTATAGAACTGGTTACTACGTATTGAGAAGATTTTAGAGGGGATTTTCTATCCAGAGGAGAGGAAATTTTTATTGGTGACTTTTGTACTTGATGGTGAGGCTGAAAGATGATGGAGGGGTCAGCACTAAGATAAATTTGGAGTACCTAGCATTCAGATCAAATTGGATGAGTTTATTCAGGTGTTCAGAGATTGGTTTGTGCCTATTTTTGCAAGGAGGTAGATGCATGGCATCTTGATTTTGAAAAGAGTTTTGTGTTCTAGGTTTTCTTGCTTGGGCTCTTGGCGTTGCCGGAGATTGTTGGAGAGTTGTTCTTCCTCTCGAATTGAAGAACATTGTATCTTGCTTTGGTTTTGATCGTCTACCAGGGGAATACAATTGTTTGCTATTGTTTTTTCCAAAGTTTTCTCCCTTTTCTCTCAGCTTTTCCATTGTTGGTGGTTGTTTTCTATTGAAAACAGTGAAATATTGGTGATTTGGCGAAGATCCGATAGTAATCACTTGGAATATTCAAGTGGTACCTATCATATTCTTAATATCACTAGCCACTTTTTCCCACATAACATTAGCATCCTCATGTACAGACAAAATCTTAATATCTAAAATCTTACTTTCAAAAATATTTTATGTTAATATCCTTTAAATGCTCCCATCTACTATGTTAGTGTATACTGCGGAAGAAAAATATCAGTGATTCTTATTTGGATTGAAAGATGTAATTAGGAAACCCCTTGTTCCTCTAGGGATTAAACATTATGCTATATTGGTGGAGAGATTTAGAAGGGTAGAAATGGATATGCAAAATATCCAAAGAAAACGTGAATTTCAGAAGAGGAAGAGTGGTGATATTATGGGAACTTCTCAAGAGTCCTACAGTATATCTACTTCACAATATAAGAAGTATTATTGGAAGAAAGCAAAGCCCACTAATAGTGGTAGTCAAATGAGTATGAACAATTATAGCAAGTGTGGAAAGCAACGCAAGGGAGAATGTCTATCCGGGTCATACACTTGCTTATGGTGTCATCAACCAGGTCATATAGCCAAGAACTGTCCTACTTTGGGACAAAGACCATTAGGAGAATCAAGAATGAATGCTGGACCTTCTCAGAGAAATGTTGGTAGACCAAGAATGATAGAAGTCTACTTAATAATAATAATAATAATAAAATTTAATAGGCATGATAACAATTCAAGGAAAGCCCGTACAAATCCTTTTTGATACAGGAGCATCACACTCCTTCATTTCAGAGGAATTTGTTAAATCTATTGGCTTATATGTTTATAAGGCTCCCACAATCCTAGAAATATTAATGCCAAATGGATCCACAAGGAATGTTCATAGTATATTTCAAGTGACTTTCAAAATAAATGAAATAAATTTTGAAACAACCTTAAATGTGTTACCATTACAAGAATTTGATATGATCTTGGGAATAGATTGATTATCAAATCATCAACAAAAAGCATACACTAGGGTACATCCTCTTGTTAATGTCTAGTAAGAGCATCCATGATTAAAGCAAAAAGATACGGGCTTAAAGTTGATATTTTATGTAATCCAACTAAAATGAGAAAATGCTTGGTCAAATCACCTTGTGTTTGAACACAAGTAACAACTTCTATATACATATATGTAATGACTTGAATATAAGTATTATTAGCTCATTCTTTTTTAGAACTCTCTAGAGCACCTCTCTTGGGATTGTATCATATGCTTTCTCTAGAGCAATAAATATCATGTGAAGATCCTTCTTATTCTCTCGATACTTCTCCATCAAACCTCTCAATACATGCGTACCTTTCATAGTAGCCCTGGATGAGAAAAATGGATGGTTGTATTAGGTTGTCTATAGCCTAAAATATGTTGAATAACTATGACATGAATCCTCCCAATCCATCACCACATAAAAAGAACTATGCAGGACCATCCTCCCACTCCCTCTTTCCTCCCAACTAGTCTGCACCATTCAAATGGTCAAATCAAGCTCCATCATTCCCAAACCACTAAAAATTAGCCATCTTGATGAAAATTTAAATTAATCAGGATTTGTTATCATGATACAACAACAACAACATCAAGCTTTTATCCCACTGTATGGGATCGGCTACATGAATCATTTTTCTCCATTGTGTCATGTTAAGAGTCAAATTCTCATTTAAATGTAATAAAGAAAGGACATTTCTAATATTTTCTAACCAAGTATTTTTAGGTCTTTTTTATTTTTATTTTTAAGTTTTGTATATGTAACCGAGAACTATGCAGTCAAATAAAGAACCCATTTCTGTAAAGTGTACTAACCATGACTAGTTGAGTGATAAGAAGCAGCCAAATTATTACAACCTCTAGCAAACATGATTAGATCATTAAGTTTGATTGCAAGTATTATGAACGTATAGTAAAAAGAATTTAGTTTGTTTTTTTGTTTGGTTTGAACTGAATCAAATACAAAGCATTTGCGTAGGGGATTTGTAATTACCCCATAATGCCCATTTTTTACTAATATGAAATTCGCTCAAATCAAACGAATGAAGAACTCATAGTCCATGACCACACCTTCCGCGCCTATGGTCGTCGCCTGCCACCCACCACCCATCACGCTCCGCTCACCACCTGCTACTGCAGCAGATAAAAAAAGAAATCAGTAAAGGTAATTTTAATATTGAAGGTTGCAGTTGCAATTTAATTTAAAAGCTTGAACCAATATATAGCTTCCTCATGTGCCATATCTGATTGTCTTCCATCAATTTTATTGATTTCACTGAGAAAAAATATACTTGCGTTGAGAGGAATTCTACAATTGCGAGGGCAGTAAAATCTACATAATGTTTTATATAATTTGTGTTTCTTAAACTCATCTTTGTTAAGTAACTCATTGATCTTATCATATTACTTGTTGAATTAAGTACAATGAATTTTTTATAACAAAATAGAGAGGCATATGAAAGGAAAACTTATTATCTGTATTCCATGCGCAGGTGCTTCGAGATTTTGTAAAGAGTGAGTCTTCTTTTCATGAATTCTCTTCGAACTTTTTAGTTCTCGTCTTTGTTAATATTATTTTCCTTAAGTAGTTTAACTATGCATGTAACCTTGTTAAAAGGGAAATAATGAAATTCTTAAGTAACTTACTGTTCTAAGCTTAGTTGACAATTGACCTGGAGACTTGCCTGCTGTCAGTTGGTGTGAATCTTTATTGCTTACTCAATTTGATTGAAGGAACAAGATGTGCATTTTCAGAAAAATTGCTAACTATACTTTCCATCAAGGATGCTACATAGATTCTGGTAAAGTCTATGCTTATTGTAGTTTGCATATCACATGGTGACTAATTTGCAGGTGTAGCAATTTTTGCTGATCAAAATCGTCAATATTTGTCAATGACAAGTGCTATTCTTCTTAGTCTAGTAAGTCGTTCTTTCTAATTGCAAAGTTTTTTCACGATTTGAAAATTTTAAATTTTAGAAGGAATATTGTTTCAGATTAAATAGATTTTTTATTCCTTCTTTGTGTTTATGAAATGTTAAGAAAATCTCCTGGTGGTTCTTTTTATTTTTTTCCATTGATTTTTGAAGAATGCTTACGAAAGCGTAGGCCTTTTTCTTAGTACTAAACTAGCATGATAAGCAGCATATTTACAAACTCAGCTGTCTAACTGAGTTTAAAGTCAATTTTCATAAAGAAACTTTAAAGGTGCAACATCTAATTTTTGGTTGTCGACTATTTAACGCAACCCTCCACTTTCTCATTTAGGACTTGGGATCTGACAACGTAGTGTTTAGCATTAGTTAATGTGTCTAAATTTTTTTTTTATTTGCGACTTTCAAATTGGCATCGTGAATCTCTATAGTTTATATTAATACATTACCTTTAAAATGTATCATTTTCTTCAAAACTATTTTGAATATTTATTTTCCTATGTTTCAAAATTTGGCATAAATATCTTCAAAATTTAATATTTTATCTTGAAAATTTCATTTAAATTTTAAGATGTATGTGCCATAATTATAAAAAGGTTACGAAGAGAAATGTGATAGGCACCCGATAATTTTTTTCCATTTCTAAAAGACCCTAAATTCTTGAATACATGGCATTGCAATTACTTATATTAGTTGAAAGGTGCGAAACTTGTATTAAATAAGATACGTTTTTTAATGAAAGCCATTTTCACATTTTCATTTGCTATCTTTCTGATTGTTTCATTTGAATGTGCATAAAGATATCATGTTACCCGGTATTAATATGTTTTCAACTTTTCATCATCTCAATTTTTTTCATTGTTGTTGTGAAGGTTCCTTGGATACAAGTGAGTCGATCAAAATCACTGCTCCTTACAGTTCGGCCTGAAGTTTTTGCTACTGCAATGATCATGGGCGCGTATGTTATTCACCATTGCTATTTGTAATTATGCTTCTTAATGCCTGAATTTTAGTTGCATTATTTTTGCATCATCATCATCCTCCTCCTTCACATTATGCCAACTAATTTTTTTTAATATGAATAAATATTTTAATGGCTACCCTTCTCTATTGATATCTCATTGGTCATCTTTCTCAATTTCGAAGTTGCTTCTTTGTAGTTCTCATACTTGAAGAGCGTCTACAGTATAGATCACTTGAAAGCTTTTTTTATTTATTTTAACTTTGTAGTTACAAGATCAGGTGATGCCGAATACCATACAAATATTTGATAGTCAAGAGCGATGAGGATTTCTTTGTATTTGCATTTGGGTTAATTCATAATCAGTTATTTTTTCTATGATTATATATTTTCATGTATTTTATTATGTGATAAGATTTTACGGGTAATTTGAACTTTTGGTTTGATTGATTCGAAGAACCACAGCCAAAATTAAACAACAAGAGTAATGGGTGCTGAAAGGAGGGGCACTAGGGGGAGAGAGAGAGAAGACCAAAAAGATGAATGAAGATATGGGAGATAGAGTAATTGACAGCCAGGGTTTGAGAAAATCAAATTTCATTTTATCCTCAATTAATTATGTGTTATCTTATATGAGTATAGAACTCCTTATATAGACTTTGGTCTCATGATTATTAAAAAAGGAAATAATATCCTGATTAACTATATGAAGATTGTTTAAAACAATTTTATGGACATAATTCTAAACCAGAAAAACATATCTAATCAATCATGTATTGTAGATAATGATTGTATATCCTGATTGGATATACGTCATCAACTCAATGTATGAAGAATTCTCATGTACCCATCCAGTTGGGAGAGATGTCAGCAAGTAATGGTGGGTGACAATGGAATTGGAGTTGCAAGCAGTGTAAGAAATGGAATTGGTGTTCTGGCAATAATACAAGACTTCACCTGTAGAGATACTTGTAGGAAATTTGGAGCCTCAAAAATACATTTATAAGGAAACACACCTCAACATGGAAAATGGGATTTAGCATTTATATTGACAAGAAAAATAAATTTAAGTAAAATAAGTGCGAGGTTTTTAAAAATATATTAGGCTTTTAGATTGCGGTTGGTAATTTATTATAAGTAGAATATGTAGTGTCACACCTTTAGCAATATTTTTGTCATTCATTGTTTCATAAAATATCCTCTTTAATAGGGGTGTCAATTCGGGTCAACGGGTCGGGTTCGGGTCGAACTCGAGCTGACCCAGATCTAAACGGGTCAACCCGAACCCGACCCGTTTTTGCAAACGAGTCGGACATTTCAACCCGGACCCGACCCGGCCTGGTTGCCGGGTTGACCCGACCCGACCCGCGACCCGGCAGCGTTCTTCCAATATTTTTTTTTTTCAAATTTGGACGTGTCTGAGGCCCATCTCTCCTAAACAAAAATTTTCTTCTCTTGTTCCTTTCTTTCTTGCAGCTTGAATGTCACGCCTATATCTGAGCGCTGAGAGAGTTATTGTACCCTGGTTTCTGGTTTCAGGATCCCAGATTTTTTCCCAAGCAAAACCAATAATAAAGTTGCAGTAAGGGAAACTAGGGACGTGAGGATGGGAGCTTGGAGGTGCACGCAGACGGACGGCTGTGCAGAAACTTTTATTTTTTTTTTTGGGGGGTAAATTTGGGGCATCAGCCCAATTTATAAGAAAAAACGGTTACAAAAAAGAGATCAAATGCTAAACAAAAAACGGCTGTGCAGAAACTTGATAAAGTTGCAACAACTGGTGTTGATATTTTCCTTCATCTTATAAAACACGCAAAGCAGGAGCATCAGAGCATCAGAGATTTTTTTTTTTGGGGAAGGAGCTTCAGAGATTCATAGCACGTGAACAGGATCCTTGCCTAAAAAGTTTTGTTGATCTCATTGGGTGGAGCAAGCCAGCAAGGATAAGGAGCTTGTTATGGAGTGGCTGAGTAATCCATCAAATGAGCATCGGGGAGCTCATTTGAACAGAAATATTTTTTT